TCATCATGCCTCGTCCCTTTATATATTACTACAAGTTAATACTCTTGATGACAATAATTTATCACGCATATATCTTTATAAAGATCACGAATTGAAATATTAGAGTGATTAAATTTTTTCTTCTTTTCTATTACCATTCTAAAATTTGACATCTGGGAAATCGACTGAGAATCAAGCCCAAGACTTAATGGTGGCATACCTTGAAATCGGAATACGAGCACGCGATGTCATCAACAAGCACTTATTGAAATATTCTAAAAATCATTGGCAACTAACAAAACATATAGTATTGCAAAACATTTTTGAATGTAGTAGGTACATACAAGATTTACGCCATTAATTCGAAAATTGAGATTAACACACAAGAACTTAGCGGTGGTAGGATTTTATTGATAAAATGCATCATTATCTTATAGATAACCTAAGCTTATAACTAAATATACATACGGCTGCATGTCAGATAACCACAATAACGTAAATTCTCTTTAGTTGAATTTGGACTCTACACTCAAAACATGAGGATTTAAAATCATCGTTGACTGTACATAAAATCATACATTTCTCTATAGTTTCAGCAATGTATAATCAATTATAGTTTGAGCTAAAGTTGCTACCTTAGTTCGGGCATTTATTTAACATTCGAAATAATACTTCTCGTTTTTCTTTTACTTTTTTATTTTAATTTCTTAACAAACCTGATGCTTGAGTGGTATATCCATATATTTATTTGATCAATCAATAGGCATTAACGGGTTCATGGACTACATACTTTAAAAAATAGCGTTGCCACTGCACCACGAAAATGCTCCAAGAACAACTATCTCCGGAAGTGATTGGCTAATTCTAATGAATAATTAAATAAACTCACAGCCAATTGCACAAAAGGCCATTAAATTCTTCATGTGTTTACAGTGACATTATTCATACAAATTTGACATTCATTAGAGCTTAAAGGCATCATTAAACCTTAATGGACATTTGTGCAACTAACGGCCAGACGCATAACGAACAATAGACAGACCTTAATACTAGAAAATAATCAGAGAACATAAAACTAATTTTTGTGTTCATTATGTCAGCTCGGCTACGCCCTGCGATAGCTGTTCTCGTCAAAATTTTGTCACAAAAGTTTAAGTAACTCATTGTTATGTAGCATTCTATTGGTAAAAGAAAAAAAAAGAACGAAGGTCCAGTAGCTTTTGATAACATTAATCACAAATAAAATAAACAATACTTCCATTGCTATATCAATTAATATACGATATTATATTCATTTGGTTCACATCCAGACATGAGTGCAATAAGCAAAAATATCTTGTCATACCGCTCTGTCGCGACGAACGTACAGTTAAATATACAGGCAGGGCAGCAATCAGGGTGGATTTGTACCACTATTACGGCTAATAAGTCGGCGAGCGGCTACTGGAAGTTTTTAAAATCATTAGCGAGAAAATCAGAGGCGGACCCAAGGGGGTAAATAAAAATCAGGTGACTTTTTTATTAGTCAATATTTTGTATTGTTGTTTATTAATCTTTAAAAAAGCTAAGATTATCTTTGTGGAACTTCTGATGCACCACTCTCTTCCACCTAGTTGCACGTCAATTAAGGCTCAATGAAGACTTTAAGCTGTAACGAATGGTTTTAATGTCAAAATTTGTATAGGTAAAGACTTTATATATATTACGTTAGGTAATGAACGTTTGTGCAACTGGGTATTCATTAATTAGGGTTCGTTTAGAAGTTATTTTGTAGTCTCATGTAATATATTTTTTTTTATAATAATAGATTAACATAATTATTTTCAGAATTAAATCTAAATTTAGCCTAGTCGGTGCAAATAAATTGCTACCACTGTAAATTTTTAAATATTAATCATGAATACAGTCTTTACTATCATATGTTTACACTCTTTTCATATTGTAGATAGAAGTAAGAAAAAAGTATAGTCTTAAGGGCTGAATTAATTAACTATGAACCAGATGCACAAACGTCCCTTAAGGTGAGCTTTTAAGCTCTAATGAATCAACTGTTATGAGTAATCTCGCTTTAAGCTAATGAATATTTTAATGGACGTTTGTGCAACTGCCTGTATGAGTCCATTTTTAGTGTACTAATACGTAGTCCTTTATTCGGACCTGGACAATACGCTTGCAGATGCATAACTTTTCAAGTGAATTTTGCTTTATGGTAAGCAATCAACATTTCGGCAGTCATTTCACTTAATTCACATCATTGGTTTTAAAGTGCTCTGCGCTTTTGTCTAATAAACTCCAGATGAAAGATGAATTTTTATATTGTGTATTTTTGTTATGTTTTTTAGTAGAGAAAATCAATGGTGCAATAGTTGGCGCCAGACGGAATAGTCTGTGATACGTGGTGAAGCAACTTTCGCAATATCCGATCATAGGACGAGTGTCCAAAAAATTAATTTCTTGTAGTGCTTCAGAAGTCATCCTGACTGTCATTAACACCCACAATTTTAATTTAATTATTTTATTTTTTTATTTGATTCCATCCATAAAGACAATTTATACCTTAACTCTGGCAACAGATGTCTGTCTAAAATAATGTAAAGCTTATGATGATATAAAATTTACACTGTGATGTGATATCACTAATAATATTTTTTACTGTGATTTTGTTTTATATTTCTCTATCACCAATTTGCACAATCGTCGTGCTATTATAGGTCAGTTGCACAAACGACCATTAAACTTTAATAAAAAAGATCTAATTTATTTTCTATATTTGAAAATTTCCATCGTTAATACCGTTTTAAAATATCTTCTATGATAGCGAAATTTGCCTATATATGTAACAAAATTTATAAATACTTATAAAAATATAATACTGTAAATTGTCCATAGCACCAAAAAAATACATCTCACAGTATTTAAAAGGCAAGTATTAATAAAACTAAATTTGGTCTAGTTTGTGCAATTTCAATTGCACAAACTAGACCAAATTTAGTTTTATTTTTTTGAAACTGCATTTTCATTATGTTATCAACTAAGATGAAACAGAATAAATTTTTTAATTAAAAGTACTTGAAAAATTCGTCAGTCCTGTTAGGTTCTGGGTAGTTATCATCGCTCAGTAGTTAGAGCAATTGCCCTGATTGCTAAAGGTTTCCCATCCCATCTCAGAGTACCAGGGACAAAGTGGATTTTTTATGCATTTTTCATTAAGATTTTTATCCAGTATGATATATATTTTGTGAATGCATAATTGATCAAATAACAAAAATATTTTATATAGTTTTGTATAGTTTATTTAGTTGTATAACTGAATTGGTAACTGCCAGCCAACTGTCTTAGTTACTCTAGAACTTAGAAACTTTCATTATTTATAATGATTTATTATACATTGAGGTATACACTAATAAGTATCCAAACAAATAATTTAAGTATCAAAATAGTACATATTACTGGCAGTACTTATGTATAAAACAGTACAGAATAATTGAATCTCTGAAAAACTTTTTACCTTAACTTCTAAGATGATAATCGATTAATTTTAAATAAAATTGCATATTTTAATACGTATTAAATAACTTTCTGGCGCATTCGCTCGCGAGAACAGGCTCTTCATATAATTTAGTAAGCGGACGTATTTGCGCCTTTAAAAAGACTTCAACGCTTAAGCTTAAAAGAGGTTCAACGTTTGAACAGATCCCACTTCAATTAGAACCTTTGTAGGATACAATTTTATATAAAATTAATATAAAAATATGTCTATACTTATTGCTTAATATTACATGTTGTACTGTACTGTATATATCATTTCTACTTCAGTAAACTTATGTAAAATTGCTTGTAATGATCTTCCATGACCTCGTCGTTTTATTCTTTATTTACTTTTTGTTAATCAAATTAATTTAATCTACGCAGATTAGTGTAAACCTTAGTGATTACAGAAATCCTATTATAATAATAATAATGAGATTGTTTTATGCATGATTTAAAATATATAATTTTACCTACGCTACATCATAAGTAGGTGACATGATGATTGTTTTATCGCATATTGATGTGGTCGAAATCGCGGGAAATCAGCTAGTTTATTATAAGATGATGGCTAATCTCATTCATATCAAAATACACAAATATAAAATAAATAAATAAATATAGATTCTGTTTAAATTAAATTTAATGTGCGAAGTAAGTGAAGTTATACACCCATAACTGCAAATCGACTTCTTTTTTAATTGTGTTTGTTATTATCAGGACAAGGTTTATATAACTACGTAATTTGTAGTCAGCAATTGTAGTTATTGAACAAAGGGAATTTACTTGAATACTCTTGTTTACTACATTTGTGCAATACTCCTTGACGATTAATTAAATTACCATATAAAAGACGTAAAATACGGATCACGGTCACTACTATTAGGAAGAACGTGAAAGGCCAACTACTTAATAACTGTTACCGATGAATATGCAATTCATAACAATGTTGTATTAACGCACATGGAACTGACAAGTCGTAACAGACTTAACAATCGCATATATAAAACAGGAACACATACATATAAATGGGGTAACGATAATGTTAATGTGGTAATACTAAAGCAATAAGTGGAAAAGATTCAGCAGCTATGAAACCATAGGCCATTGGAGTGCAAAGGTTAGCAGTTTAACACATGGCAGCGAGACGAGTCAGGCGGAAGGCCGTCGTGCGCGGTCGTCGACACCACGCTGCACTTGCACCCGACATGCCGCCCGTCTGACCGCGCAAACCAATGTTACTATATACAAACCATTTACCCAACGTTAATGGTAATCATAACATATATGACAAATTATTTTTTATTAGTGCAACCATTGTTTACGCGTAATATACGCTGTTATTGTAAATAAATATTTTAATCTTTTGATTACGCTGGACTCAAATTCAAAACTAATCTCACTATAAAGACGACTCTACATAGCTTAAATATTATTTTAAAGCGACCACCTCACTATATGTACGGCAGTCTACGCTGAATCCTCTGACGGCTCACACGGCCGACGGCATGCGCCGAGCCACTTGTTGCTACTAAGTTGTAGACGACTATTTCAAACACCGAATATTACAGTTTTACAAACTTTGAGTCTTTTAAAGTTTTCTTAAGGCCTCAACTTTAATTGGGAACAAAAAACTGAAAACAATCTTTAAATCTAACTACTGAAATTTGTTGCACCTGATACGGTAAACCATAAATCAGAGCGTGGTATTGAAAACAAATAGGGTAATTACAAGTGTTAGATAGTCGCTCACGGCGATTGGCAGCAGTCGGTTTCACGTTGTGAGTACGACACGGCGGATGTGCGGCGGTGCAGTTGGCACTAGCGGGCGTGGGTGGGTGAGCGCGCGCGTGCCGGCCGCCCGCTCGCCCCCGACCAGTGCCGCGTCAGCCAGCGCCGAGCGCACGCCGGCATGTAGCTCGAGCATGCGGCTGCCTCTGCTGCCACTCCTCGCACTGATGCTCGCGCGCCCGGCGGCAGGTCAGTGCAGTGACAGTGCAATTAATACACGCAATTATCCCGAAACCCACGTCCGAACCCGTTCATGTCACCTTAAATTAATAATTAAAAACGATGTGTCTTAAAACCACCACCGATCTTTTAATTTCCCGGTGGTAAGTCCTAATGGCAATTATTAAGGAAACGCAAGATTTTCTTTTTAAATCGATCGAGTGCATCAATAAAACTGCAGTCCCAAGTCTGAATTTATAAATTTAAATTGTTGCATTCCCTCGAAACTTGGCAAACAAAATGAGCGAACTTGCCGCCAAATCCGTAGGCACTGTTTTTTCCTCGTAAACTTCAAGTTTTTGTTTATAACTCCTTATTGTTACATCACCTGTACGACTCGCTTTTTTGCGTTCAAACATTATTTAACAAGCATCTAAAACAGAAAATTGACTACAAACAAGTTATTATTACGACATAGACACCTATGTAATTTGCTGTAAATTTATGTCAACTAATGACTGCTAGTCATGCATAATTTAATATAATTACAACAACTTTAGACATACTACTATTATCTTGACATAACGTTGAATTATTAATATGTCATATTAGTTGCAATAAAGACATCAAAAAATAGAGTTTTAAACCCGGACCGTTTGTAGCACCGTTTTGATGAATTTCCATAACAAAAGAAATTTGTTTTCTCACTTTAAGGCCGAGAAAACGGCGCGACGTCGAGTATTTATAATAATAAATTACTAACTAACGCTAGTAGTATTGCAATATTCACTGTTTAATAATTTTTTGAGATAATTACTCTTTCTCTTAAAAACTACTACTACTAATGGATTTTGCTTAAATTTGCTATACGGGTAATTCTGAATTCACATATAGGTTTCTTTTTATCCCAATAAACTGTTCCCTAAGGATAAATGTAAAGCATTGTACAAGTCACGGGAGCGAAGCTGCTGGCAGTAAGCTAGTTTGTATATATAATTATTTTATACGGTTCTTGCTTATTTTTATTATATATATTCAAACCTAAATTGCATAAGCATATTTTAAGGAGTATATCTTAGCTTGCAACATCTATTTATGTAATTTATAAAATTTCTTTTGTTTTTTATATATTTTATTCATTATCATACTATTATATATTATATTATTTAATTATCATATTATATTATTTTCGCTTTATTGGCACACTACCTTCCGATCTCTCTCTTCAAGTGTTCAACGAATCAAAGGTTGTCTGGAAGAGATCACTTTTTCAAGCTATAAGGCCGCCTTTGCCCACCCATTTGAACCAATATGATTAGCATAATATTAATAATTATGTGTGAGCAATAGTTTCTATCTATCTATTTTGAAGAACTCGTATCATGTTACACAAAAGTGCGATGTTTAAATTCAGAAAAATCTCAACTCATTCTCTCAAAACCTTCGTGTCAAATTGCTGACAACACCTTTATAAAATCATAAAAGAAAAAAAACGATTATATCTGCCGGACTAAAGTCAAAATACAAATGGTATGCTTTTATTCTGATCGTAAACAGATTGAGCGGTCTTTTATTTGAATAATGAAATATTAGGTAGTTTTTAATAAGGATGTTAAAAAACTTTTATAGAACAAAAAAAAACAAAAAAACTTTCGCTTTCTGCAGTTATAAAAACAGCGCTGTTATAGCATCGAAACTTAATCAAATTCAACCTATTTCAAAAAGAAATAAATATTTTATTCTATCTTATTGAATCTCTAACTTTAATTCATAACTGAAAAAATACGAAATAAAAAGTCCGTGAGAGACCTTGACTACATTGACTTTGGTTTTGTTGGAATTGGATTTATCAACATTCAATACCGTATTTTTGCAATGTATCAGTACATTCAATAAAACGGGTTGAATCTAATACACTCAATTTTCAATACTGTATTGAATGTTTTAATTGAATCCAATGCTAACCAAACCGAGTCCAATGCAATTAGGTGCTAGGACTGCTGGTTACGGTTATATTCAATTACGAATGCGAAAATACAATACATACATACATTTTAATAAAAATCTGCTTTCCGATATTATCTTCTAAAAACCAGACACAAAATAGCGATGTATTAAAATATAATTCAATTTTGATCACAATACAGCCATCATTATTTTAATTGCTTAAACTAATCTGTCGGAATTTTATTTTATGAAAAATCCGTATGTTTTTTGGCGTAACGATACTTTAATTGAACCACGTTGTGTTCTTATGAAGTTTTTTTTTCATGTTTACAATCACTGGCAGCTTTTACGATCCGTCTTACTTCAATTTTTACTTTTATATTTTGTAATGCAAAGTCAGTTTTTGCCTTTTTTAACACCTCTTTTTAAGAAAAAAGTCGGTTTTTTTTTAATCTTTATTGCCTCATAATTTTTATTGCTTCTACCAATTTTCATTAAAATTAGGAATAGATCAGATTAGTACCTTCATTTATATATAAAAATATCTGGAAAAATATATTAATCCGATTAAACGATATTATAGAATACTGTAACTATCAGTTGTAATAAGTAATACTCTAACTAGTCATGAGGATTAATTAGTTTTAGTAAACTTGAAAATAAGTTTTGGTAAGTAAGTCAGTCCCTGTCACACTTATAAAACATTTTTTTTTTATCGAAAAACTAAAACTAAATACAAACATAATCAAAAATTAATCATTAAAATAAGTATATGGGTAGTTAACAAATCAAGAAAAAAAAACATTTGAAGACAGGTGGTTAAAAGTATGACCAACTAACTAATCATCGCCCGTACTCTAATGGAAATTCTTCAATTTATTATAAACCCAATTACACACAAAAACAAGAATTTCCTATATAAAAATTAAAAAACTACATCATATTCTACATCTAATCAAGTCCAAGCAAAATCGTTGCTTCGTAAATCTACGTTGCGGCAGGAGACGTTGTTCCGAGAAGATCCGGCAAGACACTCAACAAGGGCAGCTTTTTGCTACCCGTTTTAAAAATACATTATCATGAAAGAAATCCCCGATATTCGAATAGTCATGATAGTGACTCCTATTCACAGTGACTATTTAATGACAGTCCTTTTAGCCAACATAACAAAATTTCGAGCTTTTCAAACGTTTCATTAAACGAAACTAACAATTACCTACATGCCTTTAAAACAATTTTCTGTAATAAACTTATTTTAATTTTATTATATTTGGGAAACAAACAATATTTATAATAAATACAATTGAAACATTTTAAAATGTCACTTATATTGCAAAAATCATTTGATTTAATTTTCATTAATCACAAACAAAAATAGTCTATAACGTCAACAATTAATATCAAAGTTACGCAATGGTCAATATTCAAATTACTCGTACATTAATTATCAAATTAAATTAAGACTACAAATAAAAATAACAATATAACTTAATGTTCGTCAGGATTATCCTTTATATTTTTTACAAGTTTTTTAGAGAATTAATTGAGCAATTAAAATGTCAACGGAGTTAAATTTCATGTCATATTCTTTACAAGATCTATAAACAAAAATATTTTCTGCATATTTAGTTTTAGTTAATGGCACAGAAAAAAGATTTTTAGACCGTGAACCTATCCGATGGCATCTTATATTAATATTCTGTAATAAAAATTTCGAGTCAACATGAGCTTTTAAAATCTTATACAAAAACATTTGATCCCTCTCTAAACGACGATCGAGTAAAGAAGAAATACGAATAGGTATGCGGTTATCGCAAGCAGATCTAAAGAGGTGCTTTTCAAATTTTTGTAATTGTTCCAATTCGACAGAAAATACTGCAACTTGTGCCCAAAAATGTCCAAAATTATCTATCATTATAGATAATTTTGGACATTTTTGGGATATATCTTTTATCACATATTTACATAAAGGGCTTTGAAAAAAATATGAAGCTTTAATATTTAAGTGTATGAATGTTTCCTAGAATTGGCTGGGAGGTCGTCTTCTCAGAAATAGGTACCATTTAATAAACTGAAGCGTGTAGGCGTGAAAGGCCTTACTTTATATTAGTCCAAAAGGTATCTTTCTGATAGACATCAGTGGAGTTAAATAAAAATAATATACAACTTATTAATTTTGAAGTGTCGCGAGGAAATATACCTCGAAAATTATACCTTGATATAAGCTTGTCTACCGCGCGACTACATTTACATAGATTAACTTGTCATCGGATTGAATCGTAATGCACTAAACGTTCAATGCTGTGTTGAAAGAGTGCATTTTATCAAATCCAGTATTGAACGTTTATTATATTTACATACAATCCGATGTCAGGGAAAGCTGTGTTATGCAGGTTGATTTTGGTATGACATCGGTCCTATATAGCTCCTTTTTTTAATTGGTCGCAACCGCGTAACTAATAAATGTAGTTTTATACATCAAACTAAATAAATATCAAGGTCTCATATTTATTCCGTGCCTGATAATCAGGCACATTACGCGGTAGGTGTAACCAGAGCCCCGTTTAAGAGAGGCATGATACAATGCTGGACAAAACACCGAGAGCGAAAGAAAAAAGTTGCGCCCCAATTTTTTCATAAAAAAGAGAAATTAATTAATTACCAAGTTAATTAATGAACTTATTCAGAAGCCCCAATAGTTATCAATTGATATCTAACACGCTCATGACACTGATTAATGTTAGTGTAAAAGGCTAGATCAAGCCCTGGCCCCAATCCACTTGCATCTGAATTTGTTCTGTTTAAGTATTTTAGAAGTCAAACATTTATTAGCGTAATAAACTACATTTATAACAACTCCTTTACTTGCAAATAATCTTCCTTGTTCTCAAGCAATTACTTTACATTGTCGACTGACGATTAACTTGAATTAACCGCAGTTAACGCCTAGTTGCGCGTGTTTAGTATCCACTTTAGTGAATAACACAATATTTCTGTCTGCTGTGCATCCGGCTCGACTCGGCTAGAGACAGACAGTGCCGTAACCACTGATAGAACATCCATGCATCTAGTGGCTAATTATC